GTACTGACCAGGGTCACGGAATAATGCAGGGCAAAAATGCCACCAAATGTATGAAAAATGCCCTAGATATTAAAAACATGAATGTAATGAAGCAATTATTATTATTATTTTTTTGTAAAACATTTGCAAATCTAGTAATGGATTTAACACAGATTATATAGTACAATCAAAAATAAAATGAAAAAAATACAATAAAATATGCTATATAAAAATATACTAGTTTAATATATAAAATACTTTTAGAACAGTGTTTGTTCAAATTAAAAATTCATTTGAATAAAATGATTGAAATGACGTGAAATGGACAACACTGTTTTTATCTGGTGAAAAAAAGCTCACCCAGGTTAAAGAAAGAAAGAAAATTAGTTCCAGTTAAACAAATACTGCTCCTTCATTATAAACACTGAGTACTGACACCAGTACTGACACACAAACTAAACAATCTTCACACATGGTTAAGTTTTCCTTTTTCATCAAGTCAAGGTCAAATTCTCCACTCTCCAGTTAGTTAAAAATGGGCCCAATTTAAATACAAGAAACATAACTACATAAAAATCATCATTAGTATTACAATTATTCTCATGAATGGGTATTCAGAGCGCTGCCAAGAGGCAGAAAGACATGACCGCATACGCTCGCCTGTCCTTGTGCAGCCTTGGGAGGAATGATGGCTAATTTTAGCCCAAAGCCATCTTTTCCACAGACAGGCAGAATGAAGTGAGTGAGCTGGGAATGATGTGATGAGAATGGACAGGGAACGTCCCCCAGTGAAGGTAGACTTCAGAGCGGCCAAGCTGTTCCCTCTGACAGCCTTCACTTTTGAGCTTCATTCTCACCTGCAAAGCTGTGATTGCTGGTGACTGGCTCTCATGAAGTACGTCATTAAATCTGAACTTGTGGCACGCCGGCGAGGAACTTACTTAGAATGTCGAAGCCGTTCAGCCTTCAGTAAGATTAAAATTAAAGTTGTCTACAATGCAACCTGCTCTCTGAAAGGTAATTTTAAGGTTTCTGATCGGACAAATCAAAATCTTGCCTGACGCACAGCTGAGCACTGTCAAACGATGTTTGTGCCGCTGTTAATTAACATGGTAAGCATGATAGAGGATAATCTAGGAGGCATCACGAGAGGGCACATGAGGCCTTTATAGTGTGCTGCACAACTTTCAAGAGCAGAGAGGACATCACGCTTTTACAGACCTGAAAATACCAATACTGAGTGGCTTACTCTACCCCCGGATGACAAACGCAAAGGCCCTTGATGCTTAATTAGGAGCGCTAAATTAGAATGACACAAATATGAGCCTACAGGGTTATGGCCCAATTTTAGGGTTCAGGTTTTGGCAGCTGCTTGTTTTGTCCCCTATGAGTGCTGTCAAGTAAGGCCAACCATGAGCAATGCGTGTCTATACAGAGACATGTCAAGATAATGTCATGTGCCTTTGTGTTTAATATACGAGAACATAAAACTTTCCTCAGATGCACTAAATGCTCCACCTGCCTAAACTGGTGTGTTCTAGAAAGCTGGCAGCATTAAAAGGTTATCTCAAAAAATGTATACGATCAGATAATGTGAGTCGCACAATTTTGAATACTAGAATGATCTTTTATAAATCAGATTTTTTAATTTTTTTGTTTTTTTTGTTTTTTGCCACAGTCCTCTTATAATTGTAGACAACTTATTTTGTTCCAGAAATGGTCATAATACATTTTTTTATAACTATCTCTATGACCCTTTGAATTATTTATTTATTTATTTTGCTGTTATGCCTTTAAATAGCAGCTGTCAATGCCCTGTTGCATGTGAAATGAGATACAGCCTCTGCTGAGTGGGCTGTTGCCAGTGCTCCATTCTTCAATGAAAGCTGCTTAGTATTGAGGAGATTATAATAAAATTTAAAATTATTAAAACTATTAAAATGAAAATAAATGAATTAGTAAGGATTATTTTGGTAATCGAGTAATCAGTCGATTATTCTGACGATTAATCGAGTAATTATAATGTTTTTTTTTGTAGTAATAAAAATAGACCTTACAAAACAACAGCCTTTAAAATTACTTATAACACATATATAATAGCAATGAGGCAATAATAATTAGTTTAAAATAAATCATATGGTTTTATACATAATGTATTTTAAACAAGCTAATGTATTATAATTGTTGTATTACAACAAATGCCTGCAGAGGGTGCCAACAGCCCGATGATTGTTTTACACTTTACTGCGCGACCTAATCCTTGTTTAATATTGACTAAACAACATTTAATTCAGGGGTCTCCAACCTTATTTCATTCGGGAGCTACTTTTTTAAAAATGAAAGTGGCTGAGAGCTACCCATATTACACGATACTTAAATCTCTTAAATAATGCATCGATCCAAACTGTTATACACGGCATTGTTAAAATGTGCTGGAAATACAAAAAAAAAGTACTGATACACACACTGTAATCATTTACCAAGTTTTATGACAAAAGCCAAAAAAAATTACCAGCACTATGCACGTTTTGTTTGCATAAACAGTGAAATGAAAACATTACAAAAGCCGGATTTTAAACTAACAAAATCTTTATTTATTTATTTTTATAAAAAGGATGAGTCAGAATGATAAATTAAATTTTATCTGCTCCATACACAGTCCTACATAAGCTAATGTGCATTCTAAAAATCTCAACACTTCTGATAACAATTAAGGTAGCCTATTTTCCATCGACCGGTTAAGATTTACAACAAAAATTTGGTCCGATTCTCGCATTGGTCTGAACAAAAATATGGCAGGCAGGCTAAATGAATTTGTAAATCCACAGTTTGATGGCAGATGGTGCTTATGAACTGTAGAACAGAGCTGTTTCCAAGGTAACCTCTGTAAACAAAGCTGCGCTGGGCTTCTAAACACTGCTTTATTACGCATTACATGGAGGGAAGATGGAAAGCAAATGCCATCGAAACCTTTCTGAAGAGAGTCGGTTTCCTATTATGCATTCATACAAATATTTCAATCATACAGTACATTCTTTCATACACTCTAAAAAAATGCTGGGTTAAATATATGGGTAGCGCTGGGTTATATTTAATCCAGCATTTTTTAGAGTGTATAATTTCCCTCAGCAGTCTGCCTTCAGTAATGTTTTCACACAAAGCGAAACTTTTCTTTGCGTGTTGCGTCTCTAAACTTTGATTAAAGCTGTGCAGTATTTACTGTGATTCAAATCACGATAATCAAATATGGGTCTAAATTATTTTAAAAAATGACAATTAAAATATGAAACGGGATAATTAAAATAACCTCATGGCCGATATGTCAAGTATGTCTTGGCGAGCTACTTCCAATTAGGCCACGAGCTACTGGTAGGTAGCGAGCGACGTGTTGGAGACCCCTGATTTAATTCAAATTCCCACTTAATCTTAAATATTTGGCCATTTCTTAAAGACAGAAATGCTACAGCCACTGTAATTTCTTGAATATGTGGATATCAAAACGTGTAAACTCGAGATGGTCCTCACTGCAGAACACAAGATCCAGGGGGCGTGGTTGGATCCAGATCCAACTCCTCCCACCTTACATATACCTAAACCTACCCGTCTCCACCCACTGATCCCTAAACCCACCCATTTCCACCCCTAAACCTACCCATCTCCACCCCTTAACTTACCAATCTCCACCCCCTAGATGTGGATCCAACCACGCCCCCTGGATCTTGTGTTCTGCAGTGAGGGGCTACTGGTAAACTCAGAGCGAGGGTTTAAACTTTTGTTTTGAAATTGAGATGAACAGTTAGCATATTGAGAAAGATATTGATGTATTCTCCTGTGTTTGCATAGGTTTATAAATTATTTACCTTACAAATCTGATGAAATGGCGAACGTTGTGTTCCCAGATAAACGTTATAATAAACCCAAACTCACAACAATATGCAGAGATGGAGTTTGAGACGCTCCACACATGTAAATGATAACAGTTTGTGTGGAGCAGCATTTATTTACTGTGAATGGAGCCGCTCTGACACACATGTACACAGCCTACACTCATGTAAATAATTAAAACGCATATATTAAACCTGCATTGCATATATTTATTTAACTGAATCGTAGCGTTTGTGAATTCACAATAGCATTATTCTTTGTTTTTAAATGGGTCTAATATATCATGCAGTCTTGGAAAATGGTTTAATCTTGCGTTTCATGGATTCTCATCCGTGGAAAGCGCCACTTCCGGTATTTTGGCGGTTACTCGGCATGTCCAAAATCCAATCGAGGATGTTTTTTAAATCGATTACTCGAATTGAATCAGGAATCGTGACAGCCCTCAAATTTATTTTAGCCACTTTTTCCTAACTTTGTAAATATGTGCAGAGCAGCTGGTGTCGCACACAGACAGGAACAGCAAATGTTTGATGAACTTTCCCAAATTTTACACCACGTCAGTTCTTCTAGCCATAGAAATAACAGAATCTATACAAATCCCTAAACATGACTGGGTAAGCCTAGTTTCTGAACATCGAATCTAGCTGATATCAAAATGTTGTAAAGTTTTTGCATTGAATTTCAATACATGGTCTTTTTGGACTGGGGAGTGGATTTTTCACAGTAGCTACAATTTAATAGTGCACTGAACTCTATTATTCAAAAAGACCAAACTGATTTATATGACCATTTTAAATAAAACCAGAGAGATTAATAGAGGTTACCATAGAGAGTGACTTTTAAGTTACTGAAATAGCTATAATTCAGGCAGATGGGCTCAAGGTCTGTATCTTCATTGTCTTCTTGTCGCAGGATAATTTTGGAAAAATGCTTTATTCGTTAAGGAAAGCGCTGAATTATTTTAGAGCTCTACTCCCATGCTTGCCAAATCTAATTGAAATCATTGAGCTATAATTTGTCCTTTTCTGGCCACCTTCATCAGGCTCCAAATGAGCCCTTGTCCGCCTCTCACAAAGACAATAAAGATATAAAGATGCAAATATATTCAAATGTGCTTACAGAAAGAATAAACTAGATTTCTCACAAAATAGCTAAAGAACCCACCTCATTTATGATGATCCAGTGACAGTCAAAAGCCACAAGATTTGTTTCCACCACCTAGAGAGAAAGAAAGAAACATTTAGCCAATTAGAAACTGAATAGTTTGGAAGGGAGTAAAAGTTGAACTGTCCCTTCAAATCATGTGATTAATTTATTATAAAAAGCAATGACAGCTGCAGGGTTTCTGCTGAACTAAATGATTGCTCATCAAAGGTTTAATAGTGGACAAGTCGAAGGTTTATGAAATTTGATATCTATAACAGAGGCATTTAAGTATCCAAACAGTATTAGAGCCAGTAAATATATGTTGTAAACTCTATCTGTCTCCATATGTATCTTAAACTACACACTGTTCCTCCCATTGTGTCCCATCTTTGGTTCTCTCTCTTCACACAAACACGACACAAAAACATAGTTACCCTTCACCAATGTTTCTCCTGCCCATTGTACCAGCACTGCATTTCATTAACCATAATTGTGTAGGTGACTAAATGTGGGTGTCATAAAACATTTTGGTCATAAACAAAAGGAACACCTGGAGAATCTGACGGCTGAAGCAGCGCTAATAGTGTTTTAATCTTCCACAATCAGCTAATAAAACTTTATAATTACAAAAGAGACAAGAGGCATAAAATTTTCCATCAACTGGTACAAGATGGCAGTACTTGACAAACAGAGCTCAGCGGGCTTTATGCCGGGGGGTCTTCATCACTTATTGTTAAGTAGGAGAGACTGGGGAGTGTTGTAACATTTTGCCCTTTTGTTGTTATTATTATTTTTAATATAAAATTACCATATTTATCTGCAACAAATTAATTAAGAATATGTTAATTAGTGTCAAGTGCAAGCGTGGGTGGTAACCCAAAATAATTAATTGTAATAATAAATTTACTTTTTAAAGGATAAAAACTAAGCCATTCCTAATCACCACCATTGATCCCATTTAATTTCTAAATATTTAATTCAAAATGATTGCAAAACTGCTAATTTAATAGACAGATGTGTTAGTTTTACATTTTTCATAATACAGACAGTCAGAGAAATGACAGACAGAAAGACAGAGAGACAGATGATAGATAGATAGATAGATAGATAGATAGATTTTATGCAACTTTTACTGTCACCTCTGCCTACAGCCAATTTCTAATTGAATTAAACTGGAAGTGGTACAGCACTCTCCAGTCTCATCTGTACTAAATGCCATATGTAATCATTAGCTCAGTAAGTGATGGTGAAGTTTCCTTTGAAAATGCTAAGATCAGCTTGATATGTTAGCAAGATCGAGAAAAAAAAAGTACATCACAACCTCTTGACACCGAAACAGGAGTAGACATAAAGTGGCCACTGTTATTAATTACATGGTCCAATCATTTTGATGTCTAAGGCTTTGTGAGGTCATTAAAGTGGCTCATGAAAAGTGTGCGTGGCTCAAAGCAGTTGTGTATATACAGTCAAAGTTTCGAAGCAGATGGCTGAGCTTAATTAAAGCATTGGCTTAACATCTACTAGACCAAGATGAACCTCTAAGGCTTGTCTTAATGCCAAGAAAAAGTTCAAGGTTGTTACAGAGTGTGCTTGACCTGAACAAATATGCCTCTATATTAGACATGGTAAAAGGCTAAATATTTGAGTGGCTGCATCCATGCAGTTTTTTTCTGTTAAATATGCAATTAAAGTTGATGGTGAGAGGTATGCTGTCCATTGCCAAAGAGGAAGGTATTGATTCTGGCAGTGAGCTGAAAGTTTGCACAGACGAGATTGAGATGCTCACACAGAAATCTAGGAAAATCCTCAAGCAAAAGATCTGTCCAAGTTAAACAGAGCCATCCCCTGGGCAGAATCAGGCTCAGGAAATTAGCAAACAGACCTACATGTCTGATGTTCCTTAAAGGCATAGTTCACCATTTCGACTCCCTCATGTCATTACAAACCTGCATACCTTACTTTCTTTCTTCTATTAAACACAAAAAACCTTAAAGAATGTACTGTGAATGGAAAATGGACTGCCAAGATCCAAAATAACCATATAAACAGTATAAAAGTACCATAATAACATCATAAAAGTAGTCCATCCAACTCATCCAAGCACTATATTCCAAAGTATTCTGAAGCCATTTTATAGCTTAATGTGAGGAACAAGTCCAAAGCTCCAAAGTTCAGTCTTTATTCACACTCTATATTGCACAATTAGGCTATTTTGTGTCAGTTTTGATATCACTGACTTCATGAAAATGAAACAACGAGAACCAATGGGGTTTGGTATCAAAAGCATCCAATTATATTCTGTGTTCATACAGCTTCTACAACTTTAAATGGGAAGATTATAATTGAATATCATTGGAATCCAAGGATTCTGGAATTCCATGAGGATTTCAAGTTGGTCATGTGAATTTGCCGCACTGACCAACAGAAATCCGTTCATTTGAAAGCGACTTCTGAGCTGCACTTCATATATCACTACACTATTGACAACAGACAACGGGCTTTAGATATTTTGTGACACTCCTTCACACAAAGCTGTTGTATCAGAACACTTGGAATACAGTGCACGACTTCTTCTACAATACATTACTGATTTTTGATACTTTTTTGAGAATTGGACACTTTCACAGACACCCCATTCATTTTTATTATATGGACAGCGTGGTAAGGATATTCTTCAAAAATCACCTTATGTGTCTCCTAAAAAAAGAGCCAGACATGATCAAATAATGACAAAACATACATTTTTGAAGCAAAGCCAAAAAAGAAGCATAATTGGTCATTTCAGTGACAAAACTTTTAAAATGACTGTCTAATTATGAATATCTGGGAATCTGGTCTGACTTGCTGTTGAGCTGCAATGACAACCCTGAATGACAGTGGGTTGACGTAAAGTCTTATGCCTGCGAGATCAAAGCCCGTAATCACTCAGAGACGCCCACTCTTCCGAAGTGCTCTCAGCTTTAAATCTATAGAGAATTAGGAGGCCATGTGAATTTACATCCAGATTGTAGTTTTGAGTTCCCCATTGAGAGAGTACTATCACCTCAGTACTAGAGGTCTCCACCTGCATTAATGTGAAAACCCAGCGAAGAATAAGCAGCTACTGTTAACCACAATCACACATCTCTTTCATTTCCTTCCTATTATTCCTTTTCTTTGCTTTCTAATGAGCCAGAGTGGTTGCGGCATGCGTTTAACAATTCACAAATTAGAAAAAAAAAAACACCTCTTCAAAGAGACACATTCAAGTTCTATCCACTTTCAAATACAAGCAGTTGTTTAAATCATACGGTGAAAGCAATGTCCTTCAACCAGGTGCTTTCACAGAATGATGATTATTGTTATTATCTCATATTTTCCACCTGACTGAGCCCTGGACGTGGAAGGTGAGATGGCGTGTATTCATTAAAGAGAGCCAAAGGGAGAGATGACCAGAATTAGACGTGAACTTTGACATCCACCAACCGCACAAAGATACCTCCGCACCACCTCTTTTTACCTCGCAAGTGACCCAACGAATCCAAATGAAAACTTAAAACTTTGCCAAGAAGTTTTAGCTTCTATGTTGAGACAGAATATTTTAAACTTCATATTCATCTTATAAATGTATTTGCAGGGAAAATGGATTAACTGATTCATAATTATGCCAAATGTAATGTAAATGTAATGATTAAAAACACCTCTAACATCTTGTTAAATGAAATCTAGATTAAATATTTATCATTTAAAGGGGTCATATGATGTTGCTAAAAAGAACATTATTTTGTGTATTTGGTGTAATGAAATGTGTTTATGTGGTTTAAGGTTCAAAAAACACATTATTTTCTACATACTGTACATTATTGTTTCTCCTCGATTTTTACAATTCTCATCGTTCTGAAAAGCGAGGTGTGCTCTGATTGGCCAGCTATCCAGTGCGTTGTGATTGGCCGAATACCTCAAGCGTGAGACGGAAATGTTACGCCCCTTGGCGTTTTAGGAGGGCGTGGACCAGTCTTAACTTTTATAAAGAATATTTATTTGGGTTTGAGACTTTAGTCTTTGCAACTTTAGGGATCTTACCAATTCACGAACAGCTTGTAACACTCCGAAGAAAAAGGAAAACCTGAAATCGCATCATATGACCCCTTTAACACAGTTTTCAACAAAGGGGATCCTTAACCTGTCTACTTACAGTATACCATTTAGCATATTTGTTAAAAAAAAGGCACTATTTGTGTACTACAGTTTATGGTTTATTCTTAAACAGTTTACAGTGTGCCAATGCCATACGATTTATTATTATTATTATGAAAGAAAACTTTTATTTAGGAAGGATGCATTAAACATATAAATATTACAAAAGACATCTAAATATTACAAAAGATTTATATTCAAATAATTGCTGCTCTTCTGAATTTTCTATTCATCAAAGAATCCTGACAAATGTATCAACTAAAATATTGATAATATTGTTTGTTGAGCATCAAATCAGCATATTACAATGATTTCTGAGAATCATGTGACACTAAAAAAAAATCAGCTTTGCCATCACAGGAATAAATGTACATATATAAAATATATTAAAATTAATGTTTTTACAATACTTTTTTTTTTACAATACAAAAAATATTTCACAATACTACTGTTTTAGCTGTAGTTTTGATTAACTTAAATGCAGCCTTGAAGTACAAAAGACTTCTTTCAAAAATGTTACTGACCCCAAAATAATTTTTAGAATATTTAACTGTTTTTACCGGACAAGAAGACAAAAATAAAAATGATTTTCATTCAAATGACCCATTTTAAACTTTGGAATATCTATTAATGATTCAATGTAATGAACTCTTACATAAAAAATGGAATCTCATTGTAACAGCTTAATAACTGCAAAACAAGACTTTTGCTTCCTGTGCATTTATCATTTAGCATAGGCTATTATTATGGATTATGAGATTACTATGAGCTGTGAAAAAATGCCATTTTTGCTCTTGGCAAAGTTGACAATACAAGATCTCATAGACAAAACAGTCTGTGCTACTAACCACGAACGCCATATGTGACAGCAAAAGAGATCCGGTAGCTTTCTGCGC